ATATATTCGCCTTTTTGATGCCGGTGTCGCGTCGATTGTCACCTACACCTAGGATCGATCGCCCACTAAGCTTGAGATCAATGTTTTTTTAAGCGATTACAGTTTCTTGGCTATCAGAACGTCCATCGTCACCCACCCAAGCTGATACCGTCACATTGATGACTTCAATAACTAAATAAAATTTCACGTTCATACATTAGGGTGCTGGATGTCCGATGTGCGATCTTAATACTTGTGGGCGTATTGCGCAAATTTTTTCCATTTTCACGAAAACACTAACTCACGTCGAATATCAGGCGACAATAGCTTCGCATCGAAAATAAGGTAAAATTTTAACAAGTACATATTACTATGCTACACCGACACAAACATATTGTGAAACTGTGCGGACAACGATTGTCATCTTCGTTGCCAACCTTACGAACACCCTACTACCAAAAATGTGAGACTTACTAAAAAAGGGTTCAAAATAATCAAAAAAAATCAAAAATCATATTTGCTTTCCACATTCACTAATAATTTATGTGTGTACTACTTACTCAGTTTGCGTCTATGATTAGACTCGAAAATCCTCTTAAACGATGTAATGCGCGATTAATTTAATTGATTAGCATAACAACAAAAAGTTGATATCCAAGATTAAATATCTATTGCCTTAGGATGAATAATTTAAAATTGGCAAAAATATCCTTATTATTATTATTATTATTATAATTGTTATTATTATTATTATTTAATCTTCTAAAAGGATTTTTTAGCTGATTATTACTTTATTTACTTGTCGTTCGTGCTCTCATCTTTATTATTAATATAATAATGAAAATAACCATAATTACGATAGCAATGTCATGAAAAAGCGACAGACGCGAGATAAAAGTTTTACAATCTAGCTGAGTTACACATAAATATACATAAACAAAAATGTTTTGTGTTTACAAGATTGAAGAAAAAGTAAAAGAAAAAATACTTAATGAAATTTTTACAAATTGTTTTTTTCTTTTTCTCTTTCTCTTGCTTTTTTTGTTTTTGTTTTAATTTTCTTTAAAAAAAAATAAAAAAAAAAAAATAAATAAACAAACAAACAAACTTTACCATTGTAATTTTGTGTTGTTTATTATTGTGTGAGCTGGAAAAAAAAAAAAAGATTGAAAGTTTCAATTGCATTCATACACATCTCTATAGTGTATTCTTCAAAAGTTTTTAGAGGTTATTTATCTGTTATTTGTTCGTGTGCCTTGTGTGTGTATGGATATATTCCTTTTTGCATTTTTTTTTTTTTTTGTTTTGTTCTTTCTGTCACTTTTAGTATTAAGAACTTTTGCATTTATTTTCAACAACCAACTTTGCCTTCAATTATACAGACATTAATGAAAAACATGAAAATAATAAATTTAACGATAAACAAGTAAGAAACAATGCAGATTCACTTAAGACGAAGTTTGAAAGTTTTTTTTTTTTTTTTTTTTTTTTTGGCACCACATATATATATTTACATTTCCTTTTATTTATATTATAAATTTTGATTGTAATGAATTTCGGGTCAGATTGATTGTAAGCCAATCATACAAATATAACGAATCGTTCAGTTCTTGTTTAAAGTTCTCCTTCCTCGAATGCCTACAATATCGATAATCTTCTACTTGGTCGGGTGGCTGTGGTAGTAAGTGCTCAGTCGGCCAAAAATTTAAGCACACATCTGTTACCCTGTCGCTACTTCCTACTTCTCCCTGTTCCTCTAGTTATACACATCATAGGGATCTTTGCCTTGTATTTTTGATTGCTAGAAACGGAGTAATCACAGCCTTAAAGATAATTTTATGCTTTTGTCTGAAGGGGGTGTAATTTAAACACTCAGACCTAGCAGGCATACAAAGCTTTCATTCAATTTAGCAATAATAATCTCCTAGTAAGGTACATAATAAGGAAATGTAAGGTACATTTCAAGCCTCTTGGCGCCAATGCACTTGAAATCATTACAAGTCAAAAGTTTGCTGACTTATCGCTTGACACACAGCTGCTGTTTGTTACTGACAAAACATTGGGCTTGGGCCACTACAGCTTGATTTTAGTACATAATTAGATTTGCAGAATAAAAATGTCTTGCGGATGCTTAGAATGATGATGTATTTCTTAGCGAAGACACAAACCTGAAATTTCATTTTCCTGTCCTGTAGCAATTGTGATTAAATGAATTAACTAACACTAAGCTGGCAAGATCCAGAATACATGCATTCTTAAGGTTGGGTCGATAGTTGAAAAAAAAAAAAAGAAGAAATTTTTATCGCTTTGCAAAAGTATTACGCTTAATGGAGAGAGATGTTTTAATCGAAATATTCAGTGCAAATACGAGTCCAAATGGTTAACAAGGACACTTAATAATCGTATAACACAAGTTTTTTCTTTTTATTATATCATGTTAGCCCCAAAGGTAAGGGGCATCAGAAATTCGCTATTTGTGCTTTGCTAACATCTTTTAGACACACACTCACACTCACACTCACTAACAGATTAAGAAAGATTATATTAATGACGTTATTGCAAGAGTGTGTTGTACGTATGTTTGTATACGTAAGTGGTGATCAAATTAACACGGCTTGGCGCCAAATGTCTACTGCACCAAAGCAATCGAGAGGAAACATTACGCACACTACTACATACCATACGAAGACCTTTAACATTTCAAAACAAGAAAAAAGTCAGCAAAAAATTTTGTAGTATGTGAAATGTACATGACTCAGAAAGACCTACAATTGACACTTACGTTATGTACAGATGCACAAGTATATCACATTGCATCCTGTTCACTTTGCAGCGACTTCTATTGACGACGATGACGACGACGACGACGACGACGACAATTGCAATTATTTATGTGGATCTCTAATTTTGTATCCAACAGAGAATGATGATGAAAGCATACTTACGCTTTAATCATTCACAATTTATGGCCTAAGGAAGAATTGAGTATTGGCACGAAACCTAAATGCTAACTGCTGCGAATTGATAGAACCGTAACCCCGGCCAAACGTATTTAGATAAATTGAGTTATTATGTCATGATCATGTCATACATTTCACGAACATATGTACAAGATAGAAGAAGAATATATGTACGCGATTGATAATTAGTTTGAAAGGTTAATTTATTGAGAAAATTTTCAAAAGAAAGTACTTGTTACCCTTCTCTAGCTACGAGTGCTGTTAATGAGAAAGATGCCTATCTCGCATTTAACATCTTAAACCCAATCTGTACAATTATTCTTTTAACACATCCTAACAAGACATACATCACAAGGAGATTAGGTATTATCTTGGACACGAAGTTCCTAAACGAAATTGAAAGCCAAAATGTCTTAACTGATTGTGTACAACATTTCAAAACATTAATCGCAATATCATATTTGATAATTGCCTTACAAATTATGAACTGAAGCAAATTTTATTAAAAAACAATTTGAAAAGAGAAAAAAAAATGTTGTTTTCATATTCAACAGAGTAATGTGAAAATCTACTCTGTGACTTTAAGTCACATCGTGGTATAATAGTAGATGATATTTGGCGTCATGACTAAATTCAAATTTACAAATGTTTATTCCCTTTAGCGTTAAGTGTTAGTTTAAAGTTAAATAAAATGATGAGACGGACGATACGGTTCTCAAAACAAACGAAAAAAAATAGACTTAATTGACTATCTGAAAATTGTGTCGTAGAACGAGGTAATTTTTTAATCTACCCTGACGCCGATAAGTAGCAGCAAATACATTTTACCAATTTTTTGATGCAAAGTACTCAAGGCGTAATTGGTAGTTGGAAATATTAAACAGACATGATTAAATCGATTTTGCTCTTCATGCTGATTACGGAATGAGTATTCATTGCGTTGCAAGCATTTGACAAGTTTACCCCATTAAAGCTTAAAAGAAAGCCATAAAATCACATGTACACACACGCAAACACACACACACACAAACAGGTACATATATAGAATATACATAATATTATGGATTTATAAAAATATAAAGCATGCACATGTATGTACAGGGATTAATATGAAATGTTAATTCATTTGGAAGCAGTACACAAGACTCATACACTGGTAGAATAAAGACCAACAAAGGTATACACAATATAAAAAATTCAGATAAATACATTCGTATATACATGTGTAAGCATGCATCCGTATACGTTTATTGTTATGAACTGTATAGTAGTGTAAGCTACTGTAGAGGTGAGATGCGGGTCAACTAATTCTCTTTTATCCTGCTCCGTGGAGAGATGTGTGCAACGATTAGTTGGCTCTTTGTTTTGTCTTTCTTTCCTACTTTCAGTTGAATAGCTATTATAAGCTTGGCATTTTTCTACTAACACACATATATATATATATATATATATATATATATATGCACGCAGCCACTCACACTCATAAGTGGAAAAATAGTTAAATGCTTGTGGCAACAGTTAAATTTACGATTTACGAATCGTGACTTTATCAGGAAAAAAAAAGATAAAAAAAAAAAATAAGAAGGAAAACCACGTGTAGCATGAATAGAACAAATATTTGAATGTAGGTGTGTATTCATTTCATCCTACGAATAGTATCCTTAAGTTCAAATTTCTTGTTTCTTTTTTTTTTTTTTTTTTTTTTTTTGTTCTCATTTTTGTTCACTTTTTTCATTTCCCGTTTTGCTGGGTGAAAATTTATGACTCACATATATGAACTGTATGTGTATTTGTGCCCCCATGATGTTATGTAACATCGTCGAAATGAATGGCACGCAAAGTAGCACAAATGGTAAAATGTAATTTTCTGGTTACTGGATCCAAGTAAATTATGCATGAAATAGCTTAAAGTGCAATAAGCAACATCGCCCCCACCTTTCCATTTCATTTAATTTTTCTTTTCTTTTTTTCCATCTATTTATCTAAAAATATTGTTTATTAAATATATATATATATATATTTTTTTTTGTTTGCTCTTCTTCTTTGTCTATAAATATATAGGTCTTTTAAAAATGGCTAAAGAATTGCATTCCTTAAGCTGGGATTATCTGATGTTTGCATTGTTTATAGCGTTCACCGTATTTACACCGCTATGGAAACGTCTATTTGGTAAAACTAAACAACGTAGCAAAGCTGATTATGTATTTGCGACGGGCGGTGTTTCACTTATTGCCGTTATGATCTCAATTGCTAGAGGCACTTTGGGTGTGCGCACGGTACTTGGTAAGTGTACGCAATGCGAAAGCATACAATCAAAACTTTATCTCAGTGAATTGGTGTTTGAAAAAATGACTCGCATCAATTGTACTCAAGCGTACGATGCACTTACTTACTTATGTTGAAAATTATCAAGTATTATAAAATGCGTACATTTATGTGATTGTTGTGATACTAATAACGCAGCAAAAAGCAAAGAACACTTACGGTTAGAATAGAAATGAAATTTTTTTTTTATTACTTCTCTTATAATCCCAGAAAAACGCGCATCGAAATGTCTATAAAGCTTATATATGCGTTTTTTTTTTTTAATTTTCGATCATAGGAATCAAAGTTAATGTGGGTAAACCAGTTCCGGAAATTTGTCTCTTTTTTTTTTTAAATCATATCACCTTTCATCTGCTATGTAAGTTTGTAACGCTTATATGAAATATAATGTACAGATTTAATAGACGCGCTTCAACTCGACTATACCGGAGGTATTAAGTATCCAAGTAAATTGTCTGCATTTTCCGATAAAATTCGAATCCATTTAACACTAGAACTACCGATAATTGAGGTATACCCCTACTTCTATCGGACGGGTCAAAATGACTTGTTTCTTAAATTACCAATACATTTAAGAAGAGACAGCAATTTTTAGTTTTTATATATTTTTTTATTTTTATGGACAAAAAGTGAATATAGTCTGAGTAAAAGAATAGTAAAAATTTATAAAATACTTACGCATAAAATCAAAGACATTTTTTGCAAGTTACAGTTATTTTAGCAGAACATTTACCACCGATTCGTTTATGGTATGTGCCACAAATATTGTTCGTACACTGTGCTATTTAACATCGTTTACGTTTCATCGAAATATGTGTCTGGTTCGGTGACGTTTTAAATGATGGGATCTAATATTTCAGAAGGTTGCGATATGATTTGCACAAACATATACTTCTAAAACTTTACAGATATTTTCCGATATAGTTAGAACGAAAACGAATCATCTCGGTATAAGTAGTTATACTGCCTACAAATTTACAACAAAATTATGAAAAAAAAAAAATATAAGTTTTACAGAATTAATTATTTGTATATCTTAGCAAAAGTCGTGCACAATTTTCTGAAACAAAATGCACTTGAAATGAGTTATAATTATGAAAATAAGTCATACAATTCACTCTGACCCTATTAGTAGTTCTAGTGTTAAAACGTACTTGATACAAAGCTTAACATATGAAATATTTACCATCCCTACCCATGGTTCATAAAAACCTCACAGTTCCCAGGCAAAATAGTAATCGACCTATTTGTGTATCGCTCACTGCCACTGACATGGAGCAGGGAGCATGGAGAAGAATAAAGGACTGGGTCTGGAGAATAAGTTTCAATCGGACGGTATTTACAGACCAACTTGAAGAATGCCCTTTTGGTTGCTTTTCACTACTTTTGTTCTCCCCGATTAGCTTCTGTGAAACTCAATTTTCTTCCGTCGATATCGTTCCCGCTATATGCAAACAGACTGAAATTGCCCAATGACTTACTCGCAACAGTAGAGAAACGATCTGTTCTATTAAGCGCCATCACAGAGCAAGTGGACAAGAAAATACATGCATATGGACGGATTTGTACGCTATCCCAGATATAGTTTACACATAAAATTGGTTAATCATTCGTCAACAAACCATATTTTACATCTTCTTCTTAATCTAGGGAATATTTTTAATGCTAACCTTACAAAGCTTTTTATGCTTTATGAACATGAAACTGTGATTGAATCACTTTGTGAAAACTTTCCTATTTAAAAAAGAAAATAAAAACACTTTGTAAACTTTAAAGGTCAAGTTCAATTATTTTCCACATGGTATCAAAAAAAAAAAAAAAAAAATCATTGGCCAGGCTTTCTATTTTCTACGACAGAATATTACAATGCAATTCTTTTGAGATCTGCCAATTTAGGCACTTTTGCTTCACTCTTCATTTCTGTTTTTTGTTTATTTTAACTTTTACTTTATTTTAAACATTTCTTCTCTTTCCTTTCATTTTTAGGTTATCCCAGTGAACTTTATTATTATGGCACAGCTATGTGGGAAGTAATCTATGGCATGGCTAGTGCTTATCCAATTGTCTGCTTTGTATTTGTTCCTATATATTTTAATTTAGGGATTACCTCAGTTTATCAATATTTAGATTTAAGGTAAGTAAAATTCATCACCAAAAGTATTTTATAAAAATTTTCTGAACTCACTCAGTCTTCCTACACACTAAGCTTAACAAAATTAATTCGGTTGAATAAATCCAAAAGGAAATTTGAAGGATATGCAAAAAACACAATTCTCGAATTATTTAAAAATAAGTTGACTTGACTTTTGTGTATGGCAATTAATTTATTCGCTCTGCCCAGAGTTGTGAACGAGAACATTAATAAATTGTTGCTTAACAAACAAATAAAAGAACCGACATTGAAATTATATAGAAAAATACTTAGGTCGTACAAATGTTTGCGGAAAATCAAATGAAGCAAAACCAATTAAGAAAATCATATTCGGTCGTGACAGAACCTCTTATACCACCCATCACCGTGATCCTAAAAAAACAAAAACAACACAAAAGTACTAAACTTTCATGCTCTATAATATGAAGAGGGCGCGATTGTTTTTTTCTATTTTCTAAATAAAAGTTTTTGTCGCATAGGCGCGTAGGCGTTGTAGGCGTACACTTTAAAAAATATACGTCCCTTTCAAATTCTTTTGCAAATTTGCAGCCAATGTATTCATTTTCGGTAACGGAAGAATTTACCACATACACAAGACAGTTGCGCAGGCAGACATTTGGATAGACGAATGTTTAGGTGCATTTCAAATTTGAAACAGGCCAAGACTTTATATACTTTATGTGGTTTTTGAAGCTGTTTTCCGCGCCTTATAAGAGTATTGAAGAAAAAATTAACTTTTTATACCCTATAATATTATGTAGGCGTGGTCAATTTTTCTTAATTTTATATAATTTCCATAAAGGTGCTACAGTATCGCTCAAATTTTTGTACGTATAGCTATAGTTTTTGAGTTTGGATCAAATAATCAATTGCTTATTCCTTTTGAAAGGCAGAGGTGTTCTTAATTTACGTGGTGCTGTGGGCGTGTCCTTCAATCGATTTGATGCATTTTCAAGACCGACCTGCGTGCAAGAATCTCCAATATTTCTACCAAATTTGAAGTCGATGGCTTCATTTTGGCGGCCAGGAGAATATTTACAACAGACATTAGACAGACGGACATGATTAAATCAATTTAGTATTTTATGATGATCAACAAAGTATGTACTTTATGCGGTCTCTGAAGTTTCCCTCTGGAAATTGCAAACATTCTGACCAGAGAAATATACCCCCCATCATTTGGTGGAGCGGAAAAGCGTGGAGTAGAAAACCTTTATGTATTCGTGTTGTCAAAACTTTTACAACCCCCAGAAGACTTCTTCACAGTATGCGTACCTTTGATCAATATCAACTTCCGAACTGCTTTGAACCAATTTAAATATGTCCGTCTGTCCGCCTGTCAGCCTGGCCGTCAGCGTTCCATCTGTGGTAAGTATTCTCCTGGTCTCAACTATGGAAAAAATAGGCAACGCCTATCTCCATTATTATAGAGTATTAAGGTTTCATTTTCTTCGAGTTTTCTTTTACGATAAAAGTGATGGTCATAGCAGATTCGGCTACAGCAGAATATAATATTTTTGTTTGTTAAATTTTCTTTGTTTTTTTTTTTTTTGATTTACTATCAAGCAAAATTTTTGCGCTCATAACGCACGCTCGGACGGATAGACGTACATCATCTTTCGTCCTCAAAACTATTTGCTTATTTGTATTGTTGCTGCTTTACAGGGTTCTTAATTTATATTTGTGTAGGTGAATTCTCGGTATGGGTAGGAGTGCAAATGTTGTTCGGAAACAAGGGAAAATAACATTGACTATAAAAAGCAAATATTTGCGCATATTTTGTACATATTTTGAACAGCTCGAAAGAAAGCTATAATTAATTCCTAAGTAATGTTTTCCATTGCATTTAAATGAAATTTTTTAATTAGCAACTGATTGGATAGGAAAGAAATTATGGACAGCTTAGTGTATTGTACACAGTTTTATTTACATATGAATTTTTGAATTATTTCCAACAATGAATAATAAACAACCCACGTTTGTATTCATTAGTCTATTATTAATATATTTTACAAAATGAATTTATTGACTTTAAGAAAGCTAAGAGCTGTACTTGATTAAGGAATAAAAATAATAACGTTAATGATCATTTATTTCTAATAGAATAATAACAAGTAAGAAAGTTATATTCGGCGCGGGCCGAATCTCGCATACCCACTACTATGCTTTTCGCCTTCTACTCTCCAAGTTCTTTTGTTTGATACCCATATCGCCGAGGTTATTAAGAAAAAATTAATGCGCCAGATTTTTAAGCTGATAATATATCCTCATTTGAGGAATGTACAAAATGATTTTCAACATCTTTTCTTGTTTGCCTTATGAGTAATCAGCACAAAATCTCTCAAAGAAGGAGAAAAAAAAGGAAAATTTCATCACTTATAACTTTCTGTGGGCATGGCCGATTTTTTCTATTTTTACACGCAAAGAGTGCAGTGCTTCATAAAGTAAATGTGAGAAATTTTAGTCTTCTTACTATAATAATTTCCGAGTGATAAACAAAAATTCATAAATTTTTGTTTTTAAAAAACAAAGTTGCGTTTAGTTTATGCTCCACTGTGGGGTTCTGCTCTGATCAATTGAGCCCATTTTCAATATCAATCTGCGTGGAAAAATTTCCAATGTTTCTACCAAGTTTGAAGTCGATATCTTCGTTGTTGTGACCAGAAGAGTATTAACAACAACCACCACTCAGACGGACAGACATGCCCTAATCAATTCACAATTGCACATTGGTCTACAATATATACACCTTATATGATCTCTGAAGGTGCCTTTTGGATGTTGCATATATGATGAAAAAAAAAAAAAAATAGTATATCCCTATTTTACAGTGATGGGTATAAAAATAATTTTTTTAAATAACTTTGCTTATAAAATGGATAAAATTCATGCTAATACAATAGCATACCTAGCAAATCATCAAATCGAAGTTAGTTTTTAGAAAAATGATCAAAATTGATCTCGCTCTGCAGAAAGTCTTAATTATTTTTCTTTCTCTTTGTTTAACTGGCAAGTAACGGAACTTTTGCTAGAGCGACAAAAGCCAAGCCAAGTATATACACAATTTTCCCTCTTACCGTTTCTGTTTTCCATACTCAATTAACACTAGATTGCCCATAGAAGTCATTTTGATACAATTTCTTAGAATTTTGAGACTTTTTTATGCCTGATGTCAATGCATTTAATAATGATTGTACTTTGAAAAAGCCAACGTGCTGAAAGCCAGGCGCATATTTACGCAGTACATGCTCCTTCCTTGTTTGGAGGAAGATGGAGAACGTCGTCAATGCTTCCGCCTGAATAGGTTGTGTTGAAACTTAAAAGACACTTATTACGACCGAGAACTATTTCATGTGGCTAGTGAGAAAGCTGTTGACTAAGAAAACAACTCTGATTGATGCAGTTAGGGGAAAGAGAAAGGAGTTAACCAAAAACGACCAAAGAAGAAGAGGATAATATGCCTCGTTTTTCCACTCTGCTGTATAAATCAAACAATTGTGTTCTTATCATATTTTTCTTGTTTTCCAAGCGCAATAAATTTTCTTTATTACATAATATTTGTTAATAATAAGTCAATGCGCAAAATATACGGATTACACTCCTTGCTTTATAAGCGTTTGATTGCTGGAATTTTATGAGATCCCCGAGCCCATATATAATATATTCTGAAAATCTGGTAAGGCAGCGCTTACGATTATCATTTTTTTTCTCTCTCCAAGTTAAAAGAAAATAATTTTGCGAAACATTTGATAAAAAGTAATAGTATTCGTGTTGTTTTTTCACTCGTACTTACTGAAATGCCTTTAAAATTAATGTAAACTGTTTTGTGACAGAGTAAATTGAAAAGCGCTTTGGTCGGAAATATTCTGTGTGATCGGAGCATCGCCATTGTGGAATAATCAACACTGGGAATCGAAAATATAATATATTGAAACAATGAATAGTACATACAACAATCTGCACAATAGTCTGCACAACAATCTACACATTCAATCAATCAACTAATAAATCATAATAAGGTAAAATAACAACAACAACATTATTAGCAATAACGTTTTGAATAATAGTATTAGCAGCTTAAAGAGCACTACATAAGTTTACAGATGGAACGGATAATAGAGTCTGACTTAACCATAAATTTCAACTAGTTTTTACACGTTACTTACGATACGTATTGTCAATGGTGAACCACTAGTATAATGATCAAATGTCAATTTAGAAAGAACATATCCCATGAAAACTTACTATTACTATTTGCTATGTATATGACAAACTATAACTATATGAAAGCACAGACAGAGTTTGTTCCGAAAAATATAAATAAAATGTAATTATTTTCCTCATATATGACATTTTGAATGATAAATATTAAGCATCGCATATAATTCCTCTCTTGTTTCTGTACAAAAGGATGTGAAAAAAAAATTTGAGAAAAATTAAAAAAAAAAAAAAAAAAAATTCTTTCCATTCATATATAAAAATATGTGATATGCGCATATATCGCATCATATGTATCGCTGAATAATGAAAAATATGTAGACAAGTTGAACAACAAATTAATTAATCCAGTTTTATTTTCGTAAACAAAATAGAAGAAACATTAATTTTATTTGGCTTGTATACATCTGGTGTTGTGTGACATTCTTGAGAACAGAATATTGTCCAAAAATTGCTAGGTTTTAATAAAACTAATATCTTTTTCGTTGTTTTTTTGTTTTTTACACTAGTATTAGTATAAAACACTTGTGGTAAAAAAACTTTCATGAAAAAATGTTTCCATTCAAATAATTTATAGTCAAACGAAGCTGAATTATTGATAGCTAACTTCTGTCTGAAAGGAATATTTTAGAATTGCTAAAGTGTACGATTTAGTTGAGTAGGACTATCTGAATTTTTATTCCCTCTCCTAGAGAATAGTTATACTAAGCTTTAGGTCAACATTTTTGCGATCAGTATATTAGGTAGTAGGTAGAGTACCTGAG